AGTGAACTATAGAATTGTATATCAAAGTTCTGACTGCTGGGGAAGGACAGTAATGTGCTAATACTGAGATTACATCACTGGCTTCATCTACATAAGGAAGAGTATCACTGACCATCTCAGTTCCTTCCTCACCCACTGCAGAGAGCTGAACTGAACTACCTCTCATATACATGAGTTAATTAGCCTGTCATTGTATAATTCGTCGTTAGTTCCTTATAGTATAGTTAGTTGTTGCAGCTGCTTGCATCAGATTATCCTCAAATTTGGGTTCTGAACCCTGTTGGTGTTTTAAAAGAGGTGATGCTTCCTATCTTTCCAGGGATAGATGCACATATTCAGTGTCTTGGTGTGAGACTCCCAAACACACCAATCTGCCTCACCTTCACACCTTGGAAAGAGAGATAGTTAAGACTGGAGGTGCATTTGGCTTTTTTGAGCTTTCAGCTAAGACATCCTCAAACTCCCAAGAGTTTCAAGATGTGCTGTTTTGCTAAGGCTTTCTGTGAGGAGATATGAGATGCATTTTGATGCCCAGCCTCAATGCCATCTTTGATGCTGACCATCCAGAAGGCAAATATTTAGTGAAACAATCTACCATTCATTGCTGCAGGGTTAATCAGAACCAAGTGCTACAAACTATTCCCCTGGTGCCTTTAGTTAGCACTATCTACATAGTCATTGAGTGTCAGGCTTCTGAATCTTCTCACACCCATTTCAGGGAAGAGAATTGACAAGGGGAAAACTGGAATGTGAAAACAGGTCTAAAGAGAAAGTAGGCATTGTTTTCCTTGAACAATGCATATCACTTTTGTAGTCTCCTTACTAGTCCCAGTGCTGCTACGGATAAATATATGCAATATGGATTGTTGGGTTTTTTTCACAAAACTAAGGCATACTCTAAGATTTCTAAGGAAGTCTTTAAGCAGTCGAACATGTATGTATCATACCTTCAGAAAAATCTTAGATTTTAAAATCCTATTTGGCAACTAATTGCACAAATGAGTGTGTCATACAAAATGACTGATAATGTTAATGAGAATTTCATTTTCAACTATAAAATGGTTTCAGTTAATTTACTCTTTACCTCTGATTAAACTTGATTCTTCTTAACCAACACTTCAGTAGAAAAATACCGTTTTTTTGTGTTTGTTTTTATAGGATGACATGACTTCATTTTATAACACTCCCCCCATGGGAAAAAGAGGAACATGCAGTTACTTGACTAAAGCTGTGATGAATTTATTGTTGGAAGGGGAAGTGAAACCAAGTAGTGATGATCCCTGTACCATTAGCTAAAGTTCAGAAAGAAAGATAGAAACCATTGCTTATTTAAGTTTGTGTAGTTTTGCATGTGATGTTTAATTCTTATTTTGAAGAGTAGCCATAGGCAGTACTATAAATCTGCACGATCCTTCATTGTGATAAGCAGAATTGCTTAGGGTAGAAAATGCCACAACTGATTATTTGGCTGTAAAAATAAATGTATTTAATCAAGAAAAAAAATCTAACAGCAATCAGCAGTCTTCACTTAAATGTCAAAATAGTGTGCTGACTGAAAATTATGCATGAAGCATGACATGCAGTTCATGTTAAATGAGCCTTAGGAGATTTAAACAAAAAGTTGGCTGGGCCTGTATTTTTGGTTATACAATTGTTTTAAAACAAACGATTCACTTCATTATTTATGTAATTTTGAACTAACAGTTTATGCAACATTTATTACCGCTCTCTTCCATTTGTACTGTTATTCATTATAAAACATTTATTCTAAATGCTGAGTGAAATACAGTCAGATTTTTTTAAAAATCAGAGAATAAATTTGAACTAATGGCTAGCACACAAAATAGATTATGAAACTTAACATAAAGGATAGAATGGCTTTGTATTTGGTCATCTTACTGAAAATGGAAGTAAAAACAAATTCTGCACAAAATATTTTCTTTACAATTCAGTTTAATTGATATAATGGTATGAGAATTGTTTAGGGTTTTAATGGGTTAGTCATAACCTGGCTTCAGACTGAAGACTGCCAGAAAATGAATACAAAATATGTAGAATTGCTTTTTATATTTTAAATAAATATTGTAGCTAGCCACTTCTTCAAAAGTTTATATGACATTTATAAATATATACTGAAAACATTAGTTAATATGGAATGGAAATGTTTTAAATGTATTTAATTGAAATTAATATTGGGAAGATGAATGAAGAGAGAGTTTCATTAAATATAAGTGTTTGGCAAGTTCTTTCCTTATTAATGG